GAGCCTGGAGAGGATGTGGGGCCTATGTCATCCCTCTGATTCACAGTTATCCTTGCCTTCCAAGGAAGCCATTTCCTGCCAAAGTCTGAGCCTCAGCACTTCGCTCTTGTGGGACTCAGAAAATAATACTCCAAAGTGAAAACCTCAAAACCCAGATTTTCATCTAACCTTTTCCTGTCCTCTTGTTTCCTGCTTGCTCCTAATTCCCTCCACCCTGAGGCAAGCCATAGAAACTAGAACCCCTTTCCATGAAGCAAGCCATAAAGCCTACAAATGTTACTCTCATTTTTCCCTGCCTGACCATAAGGAAACTATCTGACCTACCTTGTCTGACAGACAACACCCCCATTTCAGAAAGGTCCTGTATCACCCTCAGGACAAAGGAAAGAGTCACAGAGAGGTCAAGTAGAATCTAAACAGACAAGACCTCGTTGTGTTTCTCCACTCAGTCTAGGCACTAGATCATATCCTTCTTGTCCAATCACATTTTGATTCTGGGACAAAGTCTCACTGTATCATTCAGACTGGCCTGTAACTAAAGGTTCTCCCTGCCTCAGCCTCCCAAGTGCTGGGGTTACGGGCATGTGCCACTACACCCAGCTCTGCCCAGCTGTATTTTTTACATGGCTATTTTGTTTCATCCAACACAAGCATAAAAACGTATAGCTCACCCTGCAGTCTTTGCAGCTACAATCTAAACACCCCCATGTCACACAAATTATGATCAAATAAATTTATTATGCTGTTCTCTTGTTACCTTTCTGGCACAGGGGTACAACTTTTTGGTAAAGGGTGCCATGACCCTTTCCAATGAGCAAGAAGGGAATCGTTCTTTTGTGATCCTCTCTTAGTTTTTTTTTTTTTTTTTTTTTGTCTTTTTCCTTTTTATCGGTACCGGGGATCGAATTCATGACTGCCTGCTTGCAAGGCAGGCGTTCATGCCGCTAAGCTAAATCCCCAGCCCCTTCTCTTAGTTTTGAAATACATCCACTAAGCTTTGGTGGAAAGGGATAACTCCCTAAATGTGCCCTGTGATGGCCTCTCTACATCTGGTGGCCCACTGAGCTCGCCAGCCCACAGGCCCTATTGGAACTCTCAAGTCCTGTACCTCTCCTGAGGCCAATCCCCATTCTGAGCCTTCGGCACAGATGACTTCTATCTCCTTTAAACCCACAAGCCACCAGCTCTACCATCTGGCCTTCCACTTCAGACAGACTGGTGTACTTGTCTTATGCTCCTCCCAGAGTACAGGAACTTGGTCACTGCTGTTTCCTCCACAACCCCAATATAATTTCTGGTTCAGAAAAAAAAGACTTTTTTTAACCTTTTTTTCCCAAAGGCTAGGTCTCACTATGTACTTTACACTGGCCTTCATCTCCTGATGGTCTTCCTGCCACAGCATCTCAAGGGCTGGGATTACAAGCATGTGCTACCACAACGGGGTTACATCAGATTTTTTGGGACAATTTATGCCAAAGGACAATTACAAATCTGTTGGGCAAGATAGCCAGCAAGTCTATCTTGGAGTGTATAATGTCAGAAAGCTCCAAGTTCTAATCCGGGATCCTGCTATTAGCTGGCTGAATTTAGACAAGTCTTATCAATCCTCTAAATCTCAGTTCTTCACCTGTGAAATAGCAACAAGGATGCGAACCTCACATGGCTGTAAGGATTCGCTAACAAGTGACAACATCTACCACCGTGCCCAGCTAGCAGTTATTGCCCCAAAACGACAACCATTATTGGAGCTATTGTGTTAGCAGCAACTGGCTCAGCAGATGCTCAGCAAGAGGGTTGGAATCAGGAATCCTGGGACTGCTGTGAAACCCGCAGTACATCTCTGTTTCTCACTAACCCTACCTGATTCTTTATCTGCCTTCTATCTATATCCACTGTGTCTAAAACTACCTCTCATTATAGGCATGTTGGCATAAAAGATCAGCCTGGGCTAATAGCAAGTTCAAGACCAGCCTGGAATACATATGGAGACCATGTCTCAAAAGATAAATGAATCAATTCATCAATCTACCAGTCATGGCTTATAAAAGGAAAACGTTTTGCAAAGCACAATATGATTTCTCTGCTCGTTCCAATTCCAGATTCCCATGCATCCTGTCTAGTGCGCGGCCATGGCAGGACTTCACGGGGCAGGCACCCCAACTCACTAGGTCTGGGAGGCAGGCCCAGGGGAGAAGAGGGCCTGGACAGCTGCTGCTCCTCTGTGTCTAGAAGCCACCCTTTCCCAAAGCCTTGCTTCCTAAATGTCCTTTTTGGTCATGGGACCTTCCTTCAAATAACAATGGGTTATTTAGGACTGGAAAATAACAGTGGTTACAGTGGAGCTGGCAGTTCAGGCACCATGTCACCCCTCTCATTAACCTAGCCAACCCTTCTTTGGCAGCATCGGAATGAAAGAAAAAGACCAAACTAGGGCCAGGGTTTAGTGGCACAGCACCTGCCTGGCAAGCACAAGGTCCTGAATTTGATTCCTGATTCCTTCCTCCCTTCCCCCAAAAGACCAAACTAGTGCAGCTGCCAAAACAAGCCTAGTGAGGAAGTAAGGTGGAAACTCTCTTAAAACTTTACATCTGCCCGGATTAATTTGCCACTCATTCTAACGGCCCCAAACCAGTAGTTTTCAAAGTGTTCCAAGGAGCTGAGTAGAAATGTAAATTCTACTTAGGTTCCAACCAGACTAACTGAATCAGAAAACAGGTAGAGTGGCCAAACCAGCAATCTGTGCCTTAACCAGGTCTCCTCCAAGTGATTCTTATGCCTGATCAAGTACAAAGAACTCTGCCTTAAACCTTCATTATGGAATACTCTGCTTCAATTCAAGCACTGAACACCTACTACGCGTCGAGGACTGAGGAAAAGAGATTATTTCAGAAACCAGGACACAGTTGAAGAGTTTACACAGTCTATCGGGAACCGAAATCAAATATACAAATAGCAGGAGAACAAGGCAGAATGTGGTACAGAACGACACAAAAGAATCTGCTTCCCACCATTCTCTCCTACCCCTACCCTCCAGATCTCAGGCCACCAGAAGAGAACACCAGTTATAGGAAAGCCAAACTGCTCACCTCACCTCCCTGGCAACTCCAATCCTAATGTTTCAGACTTCTCAATCCCAAGGAGCACTCTTAAGGTCCTCACCATGCCTTGGCTTGCAGGGGGGAAATGTTTCCACGAGGGCACATCTAGTGGTTCTTTTTGAGCTCAGAAAGTGCCCAGGGGTTGGTCAGCATGCCACAGCAGCACAATGCACTGGAGGCAGGGTCACTCCCACGGCCCCTGGCAAGCTTGCAGAGTGTGCAGATGCAGACATAAACACGCACACAGACTGTTGCCCCCCTGGCCTCCCTGCCTCATTCTCAAGTTACAAGGTTAAAAGCATCCCATTCACAGCCAAGGGGGAGGGCTGGGACCCAAGTGCTGAAGCGGAGAAGCATCTGGTTCAGATCAAGACCGTTTACTCAGGACCCCTCCCTTCCCTTCGTCCCTTCCTGCCTGGAATCTAGGGACTGGGATAAAAGGGACGACCCAAAGGAAAATCTGCAGAAGGAAGATGACAAAACAAAAAATACATTACAAAGGGAAGTCTACCGCCTCTGTGAACCCTTAGTTATCTTTTCCCTTCAAATTCTGAGCACCAGAACAAAACTTGAGATCACCGCCTACAGACTCAGTGCCTTCCTCCACCAAGCGCTCAGAGCACCTTGCAGACAGCCCTCCCGGAAAAGAGCAACCCCCTCCAAAGTTAGCAGCAGAAACCACACGAGGCTTAGAGGTGTGGTCTGTCACAGTCCCTTTATGCCACGCTGTCTCCATACAGGTACCCAGTCCCTTCCATCTCAAAGGGATTTCCGAGCCCACCAGACGTACAAGGAAGGGATGCCCAACCAGGTTCCCGACATCCGTCCCAAAGACAAGGTGCGACTGTGAGTTACTAGCTAGGGAATCACCGTTTCCCAGGAGTCCAAGGGTGCCCCGAACACCCCTCATTCGGCGGTTTTGGCTGAAAGAAGCTGCAGGTTCCTTTTCACCAGCAGCACCTCTCTCCCTTCCAGCACTACCTTAGACTCTGTTCTCTGGTCCTTTGCGCAGCTGGGAAGCAAGAGCCAAGATGGGAGAAGGATGCAGTTAGCAAGGGATATTAAACAAAAGGCTAAGTTGAGGGAGCAGCAATGGTTGGATGTCTCCTCCCCAGGCAGAGAGGACCAGAGCCATTATGCAAAGCAGAGGGCAACAGATGTGGAACCAAAGATAAAGGGGATAGGAAAGTGAGCTCAGTCCAAAGCTGCACCAGGGGCTGGGAAGTTTGGTCCAGTCACAAGGGAAAGGCGGTAGTGAAGAATGAGTCTTCCTTCCCCGGCATGGGAGGAACAAGAGAAAGAGGGTCGGGGACCAGGCCCACAGGACTGGCACACTGGCCAAGTTTCTGGCTTGTACGATGTCTCAGTTTCTCCAAAGTAAGAAGGAGGTCAAAGTGACAGGTCTTACTGGAGAGAACTGGGCTACAGAGGGTGGCTAGGGAGCGGTGCTAGGTAAGAGAAAGACACTAGGGGAACGATGAGGGAGGTGCTAATGGTGCAGACAGCTTCGGACCAAGAAGAGTGGGGCGGGGGTCTCCAGCTGGAGGCGAGGCCAGAGCCCCTGGGTGGGGGAGCAAACTGCAAGGCAATGGACTCGAAGTGGAGCCTGGGGCGGGCTGCGCTTCCAGGGCTGAGGCTGGGGGTTGCAGGCAAAGGGTGGAACAGGAGCTCCTGGAAGGCTGGGAGCGGCTTGATGTGCAGAGGCAAAAGGCGGGGATCCGGACCGAGGCCAAGGCGAGCGGACCCCCGCCCACACGGCGCCCCGACCCCTCGGAAGTTGTGGGTCTGCACCCGGCCGGTCCGCACGGCAGAGCCGAGCCTGCTCCCAGTGCACAGAAGGGCTGGGGCAGCGTGCGGCCCGGGGCGCTCCGCATCCAGCCCGCCCTCATCCCGCCCGCGCACCTCAGTCAGCGCCGGATGCCGCGCGGGCCATGCTCGCCGCTCCTGCCGCCGCCTCCGCCCGTGCAGAAAGCCGCCGCCGCCGCCCGCGTCCAGACCCGTTAGCTCCGCGGCTCTCCGCTCCGCCAGCAGCGGGCCAGTCGCACCCTAGCCTGGCCCTGCCCTCCCGAAGCGCCGCCGCCGCGCCTCAGTCCGGCCCCTCCCCCCACCCCTGCCCGGCAGAAGGGAAGGGTGGGGGAAGGGGACGAGTGCCCCCTCCCCATTCACATCCTCTCTGTCTCTTCCCTCCCACCCTTCCCGCAAGCGCTAGGTCTTCTGGGATATAGAGTCCAGCAAGCGTTGGGCTGCAAGGAGAGCCAGCCTCCGAGACTACTATTCCCAGAAAACATCGCGGTCCAGCCCGAGGAATTATGGGCTTTGTAGTTCTGTCGGGGCTCAGGGGGCTACATCGCAGGAGGCAAAGGGTGCAAAATCTGCGTTCCCAGAAGGATCGTCTCTGAACGGCCGCGGCAGAAGCTGTGGAGTGTGTGATGCCTCTGATTTGAGCCGGATACCTGGGTCCTCGAGGGTTGTAAACTAGCAGAAGATGCTTCTTAGACGCAGTTGTGGGCAGCTGCGGCCGAGCCTGGCTGGAGGGAACTGTTTCTATTCGCTCTGGCTACGAACCGCGACCCGAGCCAGATGGGTTCATGCCGCGGCCTTTCGATCTGGACCTGGGTGGAGCCAGAGTGCCAAGCGTGGAAAGAGAACCCCACCCCCAATCCCTGGGATCCCAGAGTTTGGTCTCGCCAGACTTTGTGTTCCCCACCTGTGAATACTGTGTCTGTGGGTTCCCGAGAACCCTCGCCCATTGCGGGCCACCTAGTCATCTGTTCCAGTTTGTCTCTCCATCTCCATCCCTGTCTGTCTCTGTGTCTCTTTCTCTGTCTCCCCTCTTCTCCCCTGCCAATCTTCCTCCTGTTTAGGATAAAGTGCAGGTGCAACGCACATCTTAATTATTTTTCCATGGCCCTTCTTAGCAAGTCCTTTCCCGAACTTTAAAACCTTTGTAAACCTCCTAGTCAGACATAGTCTCAGCCTTCAGGTTTCTTCCCCGCTGGCCAAGGGGCAGCCTGTAGGTCAGTGCTTCTCAAGCCTTGCTGTGTAGTAGCTCCCCCTGGAGAGCCTTCCAAACACAGATCACTGACCCCACCCGCGTTTCTAACAAGTTCCCCAGGGGCCATGATCTTCCTGGCCAGGCCGGAGGAAACACTTCCTGCCCTTGGTGTTCGTTAGCTGCAGTTCTGGTACTGTCCTTCAGGAACGGCCTTGCTGTGGGACAATAATAGTATCTGAAGAGCCAGGCTGTGGAAGGTAGAGTCCCAGTATGGTTTAGCACAGTAATGATATTTAACAGAAAAACAAGTGATGGACTCAGGGTATATTGCTCAGTAGTAGAGCGCTTGGCCAGCATGGATGAGACTTGGGATTCAAACAAAAATAACTTCTAGGGCAAGGTCAGGATTAGCAGGGGCTGGGGATTTAGCTCAGTGGCATAAGGACCTGCCTTGCAAGCAGGCGGTTGTGAGTTCAGTACTCGGTACCGATAAAAAAGAAAAAGACAAAAAAAAAAAAAGATCAGGATCAGCCCAGTAGAATCTGGGTGGACTATAGTCTGAAATAAGCTGGGGGAATGAGAGGCATAAATAAATCACTATCTTTTTTTTTTTTCTTTTTCCTTTTTTATCGGTACCATTTAAGCCTTTTTTTTTTTTTTTTTTTTTTTTTGTCTTTAATCACTATCTTGTCAGAAACTGAGAACTACATTCATTCCATCCCAGGCTATCTATCACCCACCTACCCCTCACCCCCCCACTGTCCTTAGTGCTTCAAACCACTGCAGGGAAGTTTGGTGAACACTATCTATCCCCAGGTGTGATCCTAGACTTTGTGTGTGTGTGTGTGTGTTGTTGGGAATCAATCATGGTAGAGCCTCAAGCACGCCAGGCAAAGGTTCTACCATTGAGCTACAACCTACCCAATACTAGGCTCTTCAGTTGTAAGGTGACCAAGAACTTCTCCTTGACCAAACCCTTTTTTTTTTTTTTTAATCGTATTAGAAATCGAACTCATGACCACCTGCTTGCAAGGCAGGCGCTTATGCCGCTGAGCTAAATCCCCAGCCCCTAAGCCTTCTTCTCAATCAGATCTCAATTTTGTGTGTGGGGTGGGATGGGGTACTGGGTATTGAACCTAGGGTCTTCACACTGAATATATCCCGAGCCCTTTTTATTTTTTACTTTTAGGGTTTTGTTTTGTTTTTTACAAGTCAAGATCTTGCTGTGTAGTTAAGGCTGGTCTTGAACTTACTATGTAGCCCAGGCTGGCCTCAAACTCCTACCTCAGCCTCCCAGATTCTGGGATTACTGGTACACACCACCACAAATGGCTTTTTTTTTTTTTTTAGGCAGAGTCTCCCTAAATTGCCCAGGCGGGACTTGAATTTACCATCCTCATGCTCTAGCCTCTCTCAGTTCTGTTATTCACAGGCATGCATCCCCGTTAGACCTGGACCTTGACATAAAAATGACACTCTCAACAAAAATACAGTTGTTTTGTCCCCCACCCCAAGCACATTAAAAACCGTAAACACTTACAGTTTCTAAGGGCCGAGGTCCCAGATCTTGATGACATACATTTGTTTTTTTTGTTTTGTTTTGTTTTTCTTTTTTTGGCCTTTCTCATTTTTTTTTCGGTACCAGGAATCGAACTCACAGCTGCCTGCTTGCAAGGCAGGCACTTATGCCGCTGAGCTAAATCCCCAGCCCCTGATGATACACCTTTGTAATCCCAGCACTCAGGGAGGCTGAGGCAGGAGGACTGCTATAAATTCAAACCTGTATTACATAGTAAGACCCTCAAAAAACAAGAGCCCAAGCCCGTATCCCTAGGGTTACTCTAGTCCTTCAACTGAATGCACGAGAAAATGCAGAGCCACCAAAGAAATTTGTTACAACCAACATCTAACCACTATAATTGCAATTGTGAATTCTTGCTTGGAATTGTGAATTCTTCCTCTGTCCCTTTGAGATGTTTATGATATTTTAAATCACCTCAAATTTCTCAAAGACCTAAAAGCTGTTCCTCTGAAATGTAATCATGGAGAATAACACAGCCTCTACTGGGAGGAGAGAATCCTGACTTCATTAACTGTCAGCTGACACACACAGCTGAGCCTCTGCTTGCTACCCCCCTGCTCCTTCCCGCTCCCTATAACTCACCAGTCATCTGTTCAAATGCAGGCTGAGTGTAGCTCCTGCTGGGCATTTCTGTATGGTCCTAGTGTATTATGAATTAAAATCCACCCTTACATGGGTCTGGCTTGGTTTATCTTTGACCAAGTGGGTACCTACTTTGAATCCAAGAGGCACAGGCTGTAACCTTCACATCCTGCTGGCCCCATTCGCCCACAGTTGGTCAAAAGAGCAAATTATCCCCAGGTCCTTGGGCACGTAGCCAAATGACTTCCTGAGGCACTGGACCGGCTTAAAGTTGACTTAAAGTTTGGCTTTCTGTTTCCCTGAGATTTGTGTTCCATCATTGGGCATGGGGTAAAGGGATCCCTGTTCTACCCATAACATCAGCAGCCCAGCTCTTGTTGCAAGGACTTTGTCCCTGTACCTACATCAAGTGCAATAGCAACGTTCCCTTATAGCCTTTCCGAGCTTTGCATCCATCTCTCAAATTACTGTGAGTGGATTATTCAGGAAGGATTTGCATGCCCTTCCTTGAGCAAGACAGGATTTCTCTTCTGCTTCTACAAGAGTCCCCTATCGTTACCCTAGTCAACCCCTAAATGTTAGATTGATTCCCCCACTTTCCCTTACCCACTGTGCTTCTTTGTTTGCTTTCTTTCTTTCTTTTTTGGAACCAGGGATCAAACTCAGGACCTTGCACTTGCAGGCAGGCATCACATTGATGAGCTGTATTCTGTGACCCCAACCGCTGTGCTTTTTGCCAGGCCGGCCCAAGTCCATATTGAGTTTCTGTTGCAAAGGTTACAGCTCTTTTGTTTGAACATTACCCTTGTGCAGCACTCCTGTTTGTGTCACTCATTTACACGTTAGCTTTCCTGGTGAACCCTCCAGTGCATCGTGAGAGAGGCAGCCCCATAGGCTGAGAGCATAGAACTTCGGGGATAGAGAGGATTAAGTAGCAAGGTACTGAGAAGCAGACTCCCTCCCTCCCTGGGCTTCTGTTTGGGCCACAGATCAAATGTTCAAAGTCGGACTAACCCAGCAGCTCCCATGCTTAATAGTTTGTGTGGTCTGGAGTAGGTTACACAGTTTTTGTTGTTGTGGTTGTTTGTTTGTTTCTGTATTGGGAATCGAATCCAGGGCTTTGCACTGAGCTAGATATCCTGAACCTCCCCTTCTCTATTTATTTATTTATTTTTGTCATTTTGAAACAGGGTCTCACTATGCAGTTCAAGCTGGCCGTGAGCTCACTTCATAACCCAGGCTGGTCTCAAATTTGCAACCATCCTCCTCCCTCCTGCTGAGATTATAGGCCTGAGCCACTACGCCCGGATCTCTTCCCTCCTTTTTTTTTTTTTTTTTTTTTTTTTTTTTTTTTGAGACAAATTCTAAATTTGTAAATTACACAGGCTGAGCTCAAATTTACCTTCCTTTTCCTCAGCCTCCTAGAGTGCTGGGAGTATAGGCCTGTGGCACTGCACTGATTTACACAATCCTTTCTTCTGTAAAATTAGAATAAAAATAATAGGTCCTACGGTCTAGAGTTGTAAGGATTAAATAAGAGAATCATCATGACCTTGGATAGGAAAAATGTCAAAAAGAAATCCGGTTGCCAGGTATGATGGTGCACACTTGTAATCTCAGCATTCAGGAGGCAGAGACAGGAGGATCACTGGGAGTTCGAGGCCAGCCTAGACTACAATAGTGAGTTCCAGGCTAGCCTAAACTGCTTAACCAGACCCTGTCTCAACACAAGGCAAAACAAACAGTAAAGCCAGTCCCAATCAGCCTACCCTTTAATCACCCACGGTCACTACAAAATTTGCTTGTTTGGTGGCTACTTTTTATTTTTTGACAGTTTCCATTTATTGATACATTTTATCGCCACTTTTTTTTTTTTTTTTTTTTTGTCTTTTTTCCTTTTTATCGGTACCGGGGATTGAACTGACAGACTGCCTGCTTGCAGGGCAGGCGCTTATGCCGCTGAGCTAAATCTCCAGCCTGATACATTTTAGGTATATATAATG